TTGTTCCCTGCCCCCCCCCCCCCCCCCCCCCCCCCCACTTCTAGCTGTTGTAACTTCTAAAATATTTTGAGTTTTCTAATGAGAAGTGGCTTAAAATATTCTTAACAGAATAACAAATTTTCTTAAGCGAAAAAAAAAAATGATTTTTCTTTTCAGGGTAGTTTTTTCCAGAGTAGAGCTTCGGGCGATTGCCCTTTATTATTATTATTAAAAGTAAATGGTTATATTTATTGTTATTTCAGAATGAATTATCTTCCTAATGCAAAAATGATTGCATCAAGGAGCTGCCAGTTACGTGCCGTGCAACTTCCGGTCATTCATGAAATTTGTATTGGAGACGATGAGAATAATCGATTCAAGTCCCGTATGGGGTACCTCCGTACTTGAATCATGCACCAGGTGTTCACGAAAATACAGGTGTGAAACGGATGTTCCTCTTGATAATTCACGAGTGTAAGTACCACATCGATTACAAATCGATTTTAAATTTCTATTGACCAATCGATGTATCGATTAAACCCGACGCAATCGTATCATCTCACGATTGATTGCACTTGGACGTGTTTTTATTGATCAATCGTCTGGTGGGCTAATGACGCCGTCATATCATTATCGCCTATCATTTTTTGTTTTTGATTGATAAGAAGCGACACGATTCAATGATTTGGGGTATTTCTTTTTGGTCACGTTGTCGAGGTCATGCGATTTAAAAAAAAATATTTGGAGAATTCCCCGATTTTATGATTGGAATTATCGATTTTTTTCGGATCAAATAATTATATATAAATGAAAATCAATAAATAATAATTGAGAGGTCTGGAAAAATTATTTTCAACTCTATTATAAATAAATTATGTTTTCAAATGAATATTTGGAAAAGTTAGAATAGTAAAAGTATTGTGACCTGAGTGGATGTTATTTAGTTTAATATTCATTGATCGAGGAATTGATTAGTTTTGTAGATATTTTCACTCTCTCCCTTCGGTCGATTTCAATTTCCTGTGACGCTGTCATTATTGAGAAAAGAGAACTGACACATTGGCAATACATTCACGATATTGATAGCGTTTCAGTGCACGTGTTCGAATGCTTCTTTACAACTGTAATGTATTCATTCATTTATTCCTCCACTCGTTATTACATTTCGAGAACGTATTCATTTGCGCTGGCCGTTGACCTCAAAAGTTGAAATGGAACGGAAAAATTATCGTGGGAATATTTTCTGAAGGATTTTCAGAATTTAAACAATTGAAACAAGTCTCTGAACTCAATCGTCCGGAAATCAATATTTTTAGTCATCGAAAATTCTTCAGGCGAAATTCTTTAGATAAAAAATTGAAAAATATTCCCAAGATAATTTATTTAAAAAGTCAAATCAAAGGGAAAAATTACGTCTATTAACTCTACATATTCCAGACGGGTTAAAGGATAAGAATTTGAAATTTAAAAAAAAATCCGTTTTAAGGGTTAAGCGTTAAGGGGAAATGAAATGAAAAAGAAATTCTGTTTTTTGAAATAAAATGAATATATGGCTTTATTCGGTACAAATTAATTGAACAAAATATGTACATTCTATTATTAATTCATTAATTCAACTCACACTACAAAAATTGATATAATTACTTATAACTTCGCTCAATTTACATGAAAAAAATATGTTATAGCCTACTTTTGTACAAATATTTATCATACAACCCTTATGAATTAAAAGACATGGAATCGGATCACAGTACAAATATTTCTTCCAAATTTTTTCACGTTGGAGATATTGAAAAAATTTAAAGAATATTTTTAATGATTCATCGATCGGGATGATCCAGGAATTCAGACATAATCTCGTTGTTCTTCTTCTTTTCAGGATTTGATCGCTCGCGGTTGGAGCGCGGGGCTTCCGGGATGTCACTATATGTTGGGTATTGTAAGACTCCGTCTTCAGATCTAACGAAGTAGGGTTCCAATGGATTGACGAACTCTCGATTTCTGTACGGATCGTATTCATGGCATTGACACTCGGGATTTGACAGGCAGGAACTCCGGGGATAATGCAATTCCACGGATGGCCAGATGCCTGACTGCACTGGCATTCGTACCACACGTACCTCTCTTCCGCAATAACTTGGACGATGAATCGTGTAATATCTTACATCTTGGGAAACTTCTGGTGTCGCTTCCGGTTTATTCTGTGATGATGCCATTTCTCAATTTGCTCCTGCAATTACAGGTACGTAGAAATTAATATAATGGGAAAATTATAACTCTAACTTCTCTTAATCACGAAATTATTAAATGCCATTGAAAAATTAGAAAATGCAAAATCAATTATTATTATTCATTAAACTGATTAGCGGCTATGAAATTATGGATTTCACTTTAACATTTGAGTAGTTGGACACTTTGAATATTTGAATGAAAGCACTTTGCACTGGGAATTTTACGCTCGATTATTTTAACAATTTGCATTTATTTTTACAGAACTTCTGCTGAAGAAAATAATGAAACACTGGCTCACTGGAAGTGCAAATGGAGAAGGAAAAACTATTTTCGATAACTTCAAGTGGATTTTCTCACCTGGAGTGGATGTTTGCGGACTTGAAAATGTCGAGGACACAATTATAAACAGTGTGATTTCACCGAGGAACAAACGAAGAGTGATCTCTGCGTTGACCTACCCCTCCTGCAAGGAATTACCCATATACCTGTTACCTGGAGAGTGAATAGCCAATTGCAATTTGCCAGACCCTTTTGGGACCCTCTGGACAATGGGAGGGAGTGGGGATTGGTGCCCGGCAGGCCCATTTTTCCCTTTCGGGGGAAATTCTGCATTTTGTGCCCCTTCAGGTATTTGGACAATACTATCAATCGTACTAATCCTCGGACGCACCGGATTATACCAGTTTTATGGACGCTGGGTACGTATTTATGTATTTATGATTATTTATGTGTTTATGATGTACTCTGGGACAGTGTAATAAGAAAATGTATTGATATTTTTATAATAACTAGAGATGAACACGCCCTATGGGCGCGTATTGTTACTTTTGTGGTGCTACTACCTGAGTTTTCATTTAGTTTTTCAACCATAGAAATATAAGAATCGGAATTCAAACATTCAGATTCTGACTCTAAGCTAGAATCAGAGAGATTATAAAATGAAAAGGTCTAATGTAATGTTTTTTGGAGTTTCCTCGTTCGTAAAACAAAATTACACGAATTTTAAAAACACGAAAGAAAAGGGAATCAATTTTAGAATAATAATAAAATAAATATATCTAAAAATATATAAGTATATCTAAATATATGTAAATATATATAACATATATATAATGTGGAAATATATATATATACATATATATATATCGAATAAACCGGCTTCAAAAAACGTTATATTGCATTTTTTTTAAGGGATAGTTAATAATAATAGAGGGACATTAAACTTTTTTAATGGCGTCATCCTGAAATTCTTTTTAACCCGTCGCAAATAGATATATAAGAATGAAAAATTCAATTTTTTTTCAAAATAAAATAAATATAATGAAAAATGGCCGAAAGGCTCGTTTCACCGCCCGTTCAACGGGAACGGCTAAAACCCCTTCAAAAATCAAAATAAATATTTATAAATAAATGTTTTAGATGATATTATTCTCGCACTCATGGAGAGCGATCTTCACCAGGTGATTAAGCAGATACAGTATATGAATGACTTACAACGTATGATTTGCAACGTACATGGAGAGTAGAGTGCAGGGATCTACTGGAAAATTTGGGGAGGTACAAGCTCACTAGTGACAGACTGACTTTTCTCGGGAAATACTGCGAGTTTCATCAGATGTACGAGATCGGAGAGTTCCAGGAAGCTGCGAGGCTACTCATGTCACTAATTATATCCAATTTGACGCCTAAGTAGTGAGTATTATATATTTATCATTTATTTGTTGTTACCTTGGGATTAATTCAGTCTGAGGGAGTTTTTATGGCATTTGTTGTACGATGTTGAATAATTGTATGGCATTTCGTACAATAAATGAAATTGAGACTCTGTCAATAAAAACTCCTCGATATTTATCCGAGCAACATTTTTTTCAGTTCTCACTTGAATTTTAATTATCCATATCCAGTTCTATGTATATAAAAATAAAATCATATTTAATCGAATGTTAATGTTAATGTCTTTTATTTCAACAGTTTCTGGCCGATTCTTCTGTCCGATGCAATACCTCTTCTGGAATCCGAAGACGTAATACTCTCCAGTGAAGATACATTCACGCTGATGAGGTGTTTAGAGGAGCACGGAGATGACCTGGAATTTCAGGATAAAGTGGAAATAACAAGATTGGCGGTTGCGAGGACCTTGTCCCGAGCCCTTATCCTCGACGACTGCCAAAATGATTAATAAATTATGTTTTTTTATATTTATAATGGGATTGTAAAATAAAATATTCTCATTTTTTATGTATAATTTGCTAAAAATAAACAAATTTCCAGAATAATCACTGTCTTATTATTTATTATCATACAATTTAGAAAAATAACAATAGCAATAACAATAACAATAATAATAATAATAATAATAATAATAATAATAATAATAATAATAATAATAATAATAATAATAATAATAATAATAATAATAAGGGTTAACCATTAAGCCTTAATCCTTATTACCCTTAACCCGATTAAGGGTTAAATAATATTATTAAGGCTTAGTAATATTATTAAGGCTTAATAACATTATTAAGGGTTAACCATTAAGCCTTAATCCTTATTACCCTTAACCCGATTAAGGCTTAAATAATATTATTAAGGCTTAGTAATATTATTAAGGCTTAGTAATATTATTAAGGCTTAATAATATTATTAAGGGTTAACCATTAAGCCTTAATCCTTATTACCCTTAACCCGATTAAGGCTTAAATAATATTATTAAGGCTTAATAATATTATTAAGGCTTAATAATATCATTAAGGCTTAATAATATTATTAAGGGTCAAAATGTATTCACAACTTGCCGAATTTGTCAAAAAAAATAGTCGGGTGCTATTATTATTATTATTATTATTATTATTATTATTATTATTATTATTATTATTATTATTATTATTATTATTATTATTATTATTAT